CTTTCCTGTCCACTCTGTAAAGTTGTCCTCCCATCTCCTTCTCTGCCTTCCTCTCTATCTCTTTCCTTGTACGGTTGCTTGCAGGATTGTTTGGGCAAGTCCTGTGGATCTTGTGACATGCCCATACCATTTTAATTTTCGTCTCTTCACGGTGGTCAGTAGATCTTCATGCTGCCCCACTGCGTTACAACTAGGCACACAGAAAAAGTTAACAGATTGTAGGACAAACTGAAAGTGTAATGGCTGCAATACCATGGTGCTACAGGAAGTAGCATGCAAAGAAATATTATGGATGTTTCCCACCTATCAGATCGCCACAGGACTTTGATAGTGTTTATTAACGAAAAATGTGCTCGTAAATTTGCACTCGCATGTTGTAAAACTTAATTACCTGTTGCTTGTTACAATTGAGCATAATAAAAAAGCTGATTACATCCAAAACTAAGAGGGTAACGACCGACATAACACGTTACTAAAGGGAGTAGAATGAAAAGAATAAATAACACAGTTTTCAGCTTCTGAGATCACGAATGGGCTTGTGTTTACTGTTTAGTCAATAAAAAGGTGGCTGTAAATTCGCACAAGAGGGCTGTAAAACACAATTATATGTCAATTGTTACAACTAGGCAAACAGTAAAAATAAAAGTCATATCCAAAACTGAGAGTGTAACGACCGAAATAAAATGTGAGGTGAGCTGACAAAATGAGTTACTTCTCAGATATTAGTCCTATGGACATATTATAACCATACAATTTTATGGTTGAGAAGTATTCTACATTTCTTTCTACTTTTGCTAACGATATCTTCGTTTTTTTCTGCGTTTTCTTTCTATCTCTGCAAAAGCTATCTTTGTTCCTATTCCTACGATTTCTCTTTATCCTTGTAGATGGTATCTTTGTTTCTATCTCTACAATTTCTCTTTATCCTTGTAGATGGTATCTTTGTTTCTATCTCTACAATTTCTCTTTATCCTTGTAGACGATATCTTTGTTTCTATCTCTACGATTTCTGTCTATCTTTGCAGAAGTGATCAAACTTGTTCCCGCTGGGAACTCGTCAGCACAGTCCCTGATCGCCCCGTTGAGAGCCAATTTCAATGCGACGATCACCTGCGACTGTTACGAACCGGGTTCGAATCCAGTTGAGTTCAGCTGGTGGAAAGACGGGTCAGAACTCAACACCACGAGCCAGACACTAGCGCTGACCCCAGTATCTGTCCACGACCAGGGCCTGTACATCTGTAGGGTGACCACTGATGACGGGCGGGGGAACATCTGTGACGTGTTGGCTCGAGTGATGGGCTTCTCACAAAGTAAGAATAGAGACTTTCTGTTTGATTTAGTAGAGGTTTTACGGCGCTCGCAACTGCATAAGGTCATATGAGCCCCAAGACTAGAGTCTTCAGCCATATTCTGTGGTGTAGCGGTTGAGCTATTTGGTCGATTTTTAGGACAAGCGGGCTAACTCAGATTTCGGGGGTTTCCTGAAATCTGGACCTACACGAAAAGCGGGCATTGCCCTACCTCTAGGAGAAGTTTGGTTTTATTGGTATGTATATTTGTTTGGTTATAGAGAACACTCTCCTTGTCTTTTAAAGAAGCTGAATAAGGATACACAAATTTACCTTTCGATTTTCTCAAAACAGCATTTTTCGGGATGAATTCGTTTGAAACATCCACATCTCTCAAGGGAGACTAGAACTGATACAATGACATTATAATTATGTCACCCAAAAGTATAATTTCATGAATTATGACAATCTATTGCTCCCAGAATGGCCCAAAAACCGACCGATTTATCATATTTTCAAGACTGACGTTTTTGTTTGTATTGATTATCAGCTCACCGCGGGCCACATTCATTATTAATTACTGGCTCCACTCGAGTGGTGCCACACTGAAACTGCGTGGGTGGTTAGCAGGTGCTCTGGTGTGGTTTGCTCCTTCTTTCCCATCAAACTTCTGTCGTCTTTATCTCCCCTTCTTCTTTTTTATGTTTTTTACTCTCTTGTAACACCTCTAATCTTCTGGCGCTCATATGACCTTATTGTGTTGCAAGTGCCGTAAAACTTTTACTAAAACTAAAAAACACACTGAAACTGCTCCTGGATCGGAAAATCTGGCGCACTGGCTGCCGTTTGCCCATGCCTGCGCTATGAGGTTATTTTGTAGAGGTGGGCACAATCCGGATAATGTATAAGGATAACCGGATAATTCTCATTGAAACTTTATCCGAATTCAGACTTTTAACTTTCTTACCAGAACTGTTTGCCGAAGTAAGTGTACCCATTTGTTGTAGTAGTTCTAACCTATTTGCCGAAGCGGTTCATATCATATTATTTGCCGAAGAGATGTACTAACATATTATCCGGATTTTTTAAAGCGACTTATTGCCCAGCCCTATTATTTAGGAGACGGGGCCTCGACAGCACGTAAGGTTCCCGTCCAGTCCCAAGAGTATCAAGCCTAGCTAGTGGACGGAAAGCCGTAAAAGCTGCCCATAAATTCAATGCGTCCTCGCCAGGGATTTTGTTGTTGTTGTTTTTTGGTAGATCTAAGTGTTTTAAGGCGTTTGCAACTGCTTAAGTCATATGAACGCACGGGACACACCAAACATTTTCAGTTGGTACGAAATTTTGAATTTTGCCCGGGTGGCGGCTGAAGCCTACTCTTATCGATTTTAGACCACCAGGGGATCTTTAGCGTGCACAACTTGCACCCGGGACCTTCGAGATTTGTCGCCCTTGTCCGAGAAGGCTATAAGGTGTAGATATTTCCTACCAGAAGATCAGGGTAGTGGCTGAAAGGCAGCAGTAAGGAGTCAAGGAGTAACAATAGAATGGCTGCAGAAAGAGTCAGGAGTTAAGAGGAGGGGGCAAAGGAGGTGAGGGGGCGGGGGCAGAAAGTGGAGACATTTTGCAAAATAATTGACCCATGCTCTATCCTCGCAGCAGGCGACCCACAGACCGGTATTCTGACCATCACCAACACATCATCATCATCGTCTGACTCGACCTTCACCTTCAACACGTCCATGACCTTGCTGTGCTCCTGTTTGGGGTCAGATCCCCAGCCCCCGCCGCCATTTCTCTTCAAGTGGTTCAAAGACGGCACGGAGCTGCAGCGACAGACCGGCCCTTTCCTCCAGCTGATGGCCAGCCCTGCTCGCTCGGGGAACTACTCGTGTGAGGTCGTGGCGCAGGGCGGGAGCGGCTTCTACTGCTCAGCTTCTGCGGCCGTGGAGTTTATTGGTGCGTGGTCATGGGTAAATATGATGGGCGTCTGTCTGTCTGTCTGTCTGTCTGTCTGTCTGTCTGTCTGTCTGTCTGTCTGTCTGTCTATCTATCTGTCTACCTGTTTGTCTGTATGTCTGTATGCCCCTCTATCTATTTATCTATCTATCTATCTATCTATCTACCTGTTTGTCTGTCTGTCTGTATGCCCCTCTATCTATCTATCTATCTATCTATCTATCTATCTATCTATCTATCTATCTATCT